TCTGGAATTTACAGCTTTCCTCGACGCTATGCAGTGTGCGGGCAAATTTTTGTGTCGCCTGCAAATTTCCCAGCTGCTCACTCCACGGTCAAGGTGGAGATGGTATGGAGGGTAATCATGTTATTTGACGCATGATGTGTGAGTCAGGAATAGTACGAGTGCAGTGCTGTGTGTACGCGTGGTAATTGCGGAGATTTGCCTTGAGTGCGTTGTGTAGATTTTCCTTGCGGACGGTGGCAAGTGTCAATGTTTGAAAGTGTGATTGGAAATTGGTGTGAGAGATTTGGTTGCAGTGAAAAAACGAAGATGTCAGGAGTGGGATTTGAACCCACGCCCCTAGAAATGGACCGGAATTCACGAGGCTTTCTTCAAGTCCCGGATGACTACTTGAGTTTAGTGCTTTGGACCACTCGGCCATCCTGGCCAGCCGCCTACTTGTCGCTTCCCGATGGCTTTCTAACTCTGTTCGATTAGTCACATTCAGCAATCCCGTTGCTTTGTGCAGACATAAATTGCAACTCAGCATTTTTTCAGCTCACTTCCATTCACACACAGTAACAAGCCCTTTTCTGCACGACACCAACATTCTCTCTTTCTCACACACACACACACACACCCATATACACTCGCACATACACAAAATATTCTGCTTCTTTGACAGTTGCTTATGGTTGGCATGGATTTGTTGCACCAACGGGTCTGTTTCATGTTATATGGCTCTATGTCTCTATGAACTCAACTTTGAATAAATTCACCACAGCCCTCGCTCTCACCGTGAACAGTCTCGATTAAATTGTTACACTGACTTTAACAGCCCTCCTTGTGTTGTTATTGGGAAGCTTACTTCAACCAAATCTATTGCATTCCCTGTGCAGCGTGCTTAAGTTGCGACAGACTATCGAATTTTATAAAGCATTAAATATTCTTCGAGTTCAGGCATATCTGGTAACACAATATTAAAATACTCCCTTTATCTAATAGCAATTCTTCTCAGAAAGACCAATGAAGTCTGTAGTCATTCTTAAGGTATTCTTATTCAGTGAAGCAATGAAACAAGTTCTGATATGTTTATTGAGGGGTAATTCCTGCACTTTCCAGTTTTTTAAAATTCTTACAGCAGTTTAATTGATTTTTTTCTTCTAATTCCCAAACGTCAACATCGGAATCAATATGTAGAATGGTCTGAAAATGTTGCTACAAATTCTGAGCTCACTCTCAGGTCAAGATTTTAACTTAGTCAGAAGCACTTTGTTGCAGAGTTCCAGTTGGGCCCTATATATTGTCACAACTGAAGGTGAAGAAGCGCACAATTCCTCTTATTAAATGTTTCAGCGGGCTCGAGGAGCTGAATGGCCCACAATACTCTTTGTTCATTTGTTTATGGCAGCATTACAGGTGTGACCAGCTTTATGATGTACTGCCCAAAGATTGTACGGACTGGTGTATGAGGATACACAATTTTAAAAGCTGTTTCATCTGCATTCCAATTAAAGGCTTTAATCCCAAATCTCCCATAGCTCATAGCTCAGTGTAGCTCAAAGAGTTTTAGGAATGTAATCTACATTCACAGAACTATCATTGAAGCAAAATTGCTAAATTGATCAATAGATAAAGTTTCAAAAAGTTACTGTCTGCAGAAACTCTCATTCATGGCTTTGAGCTTATGTTGCTGAGGTATCTGGATAATGCAGCTTTGGTATATTTGAGAAACTGAATGGACAGATCTAGCTTTCAATGGTCCTTTGGGTAATTTAGCTGCTCCGACTGGCCTCCGTACCAGCAGTCAGGGAGAGAATGTGGGTGCAGACTTGCACTTCTTTCTAAGAAGAGAGACCATCATTGCTCAGTTGCAAACTTGAGCAACACTTCAACAGATGGGGACTCAGAATTCCATTTGACCTTTGCTAGAGGAATCTGAGGAGTAGATTGAGTGTGAGGTGGTTATTTCTCATTCCTCTCCTCTCTTTAAGACAGTAGCCATTCTTCCTCTACTGTAATCAGGACAGTTGTTCCACTTCAGGTGGCATCAAGTGTCAGTCACTTATCAAAAGGGTAAGAGGGAAATGGGACTGCTCTGTTTTTCATCAGCTGCAATTTAAATGTTCCAGTTTCATGAAGGGAATTATCTGGCTGAATAAAAAAAACAAAGGACCCTATTTTCTAGGGTTGGGAGTCAGCCACATCTACCCCCCTCCCCGCACCCACCATGCCACCATACCTGCCAGTCCTGACTAGTGCAGTGCAAAAAAATCCCTTCGTAAACACCGATAAGGTTACAAATACAATTTTCTGCAGCTTTAACTACCTGTAGATGGAGCTCAGAGATTTCCTACTTTCATTACAAACTCTGCTCACTTCGGACTTTCAACTTCCATTTAATTTCTGCATGGAGGCTATTTGTCTGAGTCTTCATAGGGCTCAGACAGCAATCTATTCAAATTTCAATGTGCCATGTTGAGGCCTGTGGTATTTATTACCTGTTATGGACCAGCCCAAATACCCTCAGAATATATTGAGAAGATAGCCTAAAGCCTAAATTTTCCTTATTTTTAAGGTAAATCTAAGATGTTGTGTTCCAGATGCACTTCAATCGGTCAAACAAATCAACTTTAAGCAAAACACACTTTATTTTTACACTATGGTTAAATACAGACAAAATAAAAATAAAGAATTGGTTTAACTGTAACTCTATTGAAAAGTTTAACAAAATTATATATACATATATGAATTACTACTAATTTGCCGTTCCAATATCATAACATTCCATTAACATATCCTTAGTAAAGGCAAATTCAGTAAAATAGATTGTCTTGCATGCAATTCTAGCAATAGGAAGGGAACCCCAGTTTTTAGTTGTAACAGAGGGACGAATAAGAGCTTCCACATTCAGCTTCAGAACCCCAACAGCTGCTACAGAAAGCTAAAACTAAAAAATAACTCTTGTTCTGCCGGAGCTTGACCCTAACCATTCACACTGCTTGAAATAACTGCACAGAGGCCTGTATCCCATCACCAAGTCACCCTTTATTAGTGCATAGTACAATGGCTATGGCCAACCAGCTTGAAGTCAGGCCACTCACCTGAGGAGATTCTGATCTCCTGGTTATATTGGACAGCCAATGCTTTCCAGATTGGCCCAGGTTAACAACCCCAATTAAGAACCTTGTAGTTTTATATATATATGTCTAATTCTATGTGTTTATTGATGGCCTTCCTGGTGGAGAACCAGACCTCTAGAAATTCCTGTGCTTGTCTGTTTGGCCTGTCCTAGGATCTTCTTGGATGTCACGGTAGAACGCAGGGGCCAATGGGGAATTTCTGACGAAGATACATAGAAAGGCCACACACATGGATGAAGTCCTGAATTTCAACAGTAACCACCCCAACACCCACAAACGAAGTTGTGTGAAAACACTATTTAAACGAGCAACATACTGCAGAAACCTGGAACTACGTATTTAAGGACAATGGATACCTGGACAGTTGGGTCCAATGATGCCTATCACACAAACGACAGGAAGATACAGTACAGCCTGACACATTTGTCCCATTACCATACATCAAGAACATATCTGAACTGATCACAAGACTCCTAAGACCATCAGGTATCACAATGGCACACAACCTATGTCAACCCTCTGCCAACTGCTAACTCGAACCAAACACCCCTTACCCACTATGGACAGAACCAACATGATATACAAGATTCCATGCAAGGACTGCGACAAACATTATATTGGACAAACAGGAAGGAAACTGGCCACAAGAATACATGAACACCAACTAGCAACAAAAAGACATGACCAGTACTCACTCATCTCCATTCACACAGATAAGGAGAACCACCAGTTCGATTGAGACAATATCAAGATCCTAGGACAGGCCAAACAGAGACAAGCACAGGAATTTATAGAGGCCTGGTTCTCTACCCAGAAGGCCATCAATAAACACGTAGAATTAGACCCTATGTATACACCATTGCGAAGAAAAAACAGAAATAAGGTAATCAACTCTAACAGATCCCAGAGTTTAAATACCAGGCGGGAAAACACAACAGCTCTTCATCAGAGGCTGCACTGATGATGTTACCCAGCAGGGTAATGAAAGGCCTGCAAACTAATGAACCAGCTCAGTGAGCGAACCAACCACAGCATTCACAACCGGAGCTACAAATCTACTGAAGAATCTTAGACTATATCCATACCCCCCACCCCCAAACAAGTCTGAGGATGTAGGCCTGGTCTTTCACTTGTAGCTTTTCCTGTGACGTTTTTGTCCCAGGTCCCTTTCTCTGGCTTGAACTTGGACACAGGTGGTGTGTACCAGACTGTGGCCCATCTCTTGCACCCGGAATGTCAAAAAAGAGTTTCCTTCTCTTCTTCTGTCGGCAATGGTATTGAGGCTGCATCCATTTTGGACTCTGAGGTTTTCTCAACACTAGACAGAAGGGGAGCACATACGGTTTCTGCCAGGCCTTCTGGCTGTTCTGAGGGGCCAGGTATGTTTTGCTCCTTTCCCATTTGTTAGGTAACAGCTTTCAGGTGATCTGTGTTTGCTCAGAACTGTACCACCTACCTGAAAGTTACAGGAACTGACCTCGTGTCAATCTCACCTTGTTCCGATACAGGGCCATTTCCATGGTTCTGGCACCAAACTTCATCCCCTGAATTAAATCATCTCTCTCACTTAGAGGAGGCATTTGGCCAGCATTGGCACTCCTGCTGCTGTTTCTCCCTCACCCCACAGGTGTGGAAATACCAGGTTTAACCTGGTGCAGAGACTTTGCCCCATTAGCCACTCTATCCCTGTTGTTGCGTGTGCGGTGGTTCTATAATCAAACAGGAACCAGGACAGTTTGGTCTCAATTGACGCTCTAGGCTGCTTCTTTAAGCCTACTTTCAATGTTTGGACAGCTCTTTCTGCCAGACCACTGGACAATGGATGGTACGGAGCTATCCTTATGTACAGAATGCCATTTGACTTTAGGAAATATTCAAATTCCCTGCTGGTAAATGATTTTGCATTGTTTGTGTTCAATGCTTCCAGGAGTCCATGTATCACAAGTGCTACTTGTAGCTTTTCAATCGTCATCCCCGACTTTGCTGAATGAACTTTATGCACGTCCAACCACTTTGAATGGGTGTCCACAAAGCCCAGGAACATTGACCCCATGAAAGGACCAGCATAGTTGATGTGCAACTGAGTCCAGTATTTACCTGGCCATTCCCACAAATGTGGAGGTGCTGCTGATGGCAATTTTTGTCCTGGTTGGCACTCTGGACACTGCCCCACCAAGACAGCTATGTCGGCATCTAATCCTGGCCACCAGACGTAGATTCTTGCCAGCATCTTCATCTTGGAAACCCTTTGATGACCGTGGTGAAGTTTGGCCAATATCTGGCAGCAACCTTTACTCGGGACAAT